GGGCAACCTGCATGTGGCGAATAAAGCTTTGATTGATTGATTGATAATCAGACATCCTTCCACTTGCTGAGTTGAAAGTAGTGTGAGTTTGGTTTGTAAGCTCAGGCGTTCTTTGTACAGCGCCGGTCATGGTGATTGACCGTACTGCCTGTTGATGCTCATAATCTGGTCTGAAATAAGCCTCTGCTCCCATTCTGCACACTGCCTTTGAGATGCTGCCAATTAAATTATTTCTCCTCTCAGGAACACCTTTAAAGCCTCCCATACCGTCCTGTTTGGCATACCAGGTGTCCCATTCTCACTAAGTAACGTTTTAATTTTACAAGAAATATTAAAGAGAAATTGTTCATCTGTGAGCAACAATGGATCCAACCTGCAGAGCTTTCTCACAAACTCACAGCCCAAAAACAACAACAACAACAACAAACCCCACCCGAGAAATAAAATACAATAACATGCCACAACGTAAAGGAAACTAAAACAATACCAACCACCAATATTACCTCAGCAGGTTGCATTGAACAGCAACTGTCTAAGCCCCTGCTCGCTTCCCATACTAGCTAAGTACTCCCCCGTACCACTACCACGTACGCCTTGTACCCGCACCATTAAACGTTAACCCCTAAACTTAAAGCAGGGCCCATATTTAAAGGTGATGAAGAAGAGAAACAAAACACAACAAGACCAAAGCAACCACACAACAAACAAGTTTTCCTTAAAATGAACAGCAAAGAACACAATACTATACTAACAGCACGGCTGTACAGTATCAGTCAGATCGAGGGTGCTGCGCAGACCAGTCTGACCTATTATACTGGTGATTTAAGGTGAGTGCACTGACCGGCTACAATATCCACCTCAGGATGGAGAGCGTTGGTCTTCCTCAAAGGATTAAATAAAGCGGGTAGCCTCATCAACTGACTCCGGTCGCCGGTTATTTCCATCTGGAAGAGTAATCCGAAGTCTGGCGGGGAAGAATAGGGAAGGTTGGAGGCCTCTCCTATACAACTCGGCCATAACATCCATATACTGGGCTCGCTGATTTTCGAAGTCTGCGTTGTAGTCCATTTAGAACTGGAGCGTCCACAGTACTCAGTTCGCTGTGGACCCAGATCCACTGATTCCGGCAAACCCACCAGACGAATGTTCGGCCCTCTGCTTCTGCTCTCCAGGTCAGAAAGTTTAGTTTTGAAAAGTTTGTTCTCCCCCTCTCTCCCCCTTCACATTTAGTCCATCTTGTCCAGCTTATCATTAATTACATCAAGATGTAGGCTTAAAATCTGCAGCTATGGCTGTTCTGTGGTGTTCAAGCAAGGCGACAAGCGTCGGGTTCAGGGCAGCACTAGCATCCTCTGCTAGGCCAGCACTAGCACCACTCTCAGCAGCAGTTTTCTTCTCAGTTTGTCTTCTTACCTTGGACATCTTTTCAGTGTCACACTTATTAAAGGCCCCCAAACATACGTGTCTAATAGCAAAGTGGGGATTAGGAAGTAAAATAAGAAGAGTTAAGCAGGTGCTAGTAGCTGACACACCTTAACCCACTGCCAGAAAAATGAAGTCCCCATAAGTAGTTGTCAATGCAGTGGAAACTCTCTGGAGTCATGGCTTGTGTTGGTAGCTCTCCACAAAACAGCATGTCTTCATGTAAACTGCTGTCCCAGCAATAATGTACAAAAACCAGAAGCAATGCACCATTCATGACCAGTGTTGTTCAAATTACTAAAAAAAAAATGTAATTAGTTACTTATTACTGATTACTTCTCCAAAAAACCAATCCTGTTACATTACTGATTACTTATTTTCAAATGTAATTAGTAACTTATTACTCAGTTACTTTTTTAAAAACATGATACACAACCTGAATATGTAATGTAAAGCAACGGACCTTTCAGCCCAGTTCTATTTTTTTCTCCATAATCCATCATATCAAACTGAATCAAATGAAAAAGTCTCTTCTTAAAACTTGTTTCATTAGTTTTAATCTTCTAACTTTACGCATCAAGCAAAATTAAATTATATGCAACAGTCTTTGACTTGAAGAAATTCTTTAACATTTAAACTTATTTTTTGCATATTCCAGCATATAAAATAAAATAATGTTTTGTGTTTACACTCTTTCAAATAGATGCAAGTAAAACACAGCAGAAATAAATAAAATCAAAGATTTAGCAGCACTTAAATCTATTGTCACCTGTTTAGCAGGAGTGGGGCGGGTGGAGGTTTGCCCACAGTGGTCATGTCAGTGGGGGCATCCGGGGGTTTCTCTGTGAGTGTCACATTCCCGTGGCAGCGTGCTCGCTGCTCGCTCAGATTTGAAATTTAATTTTTCGCTTTACGCAGAGTGTACAGCAGACGCTAATGTTTCTGTCACTTTTTACAGAATCAAACTCAAAGTAATGTGAGTACTTCCAAGCTTTAATCGCTGCATGGTTGTACTCTCTCCATCGCTCTATATTTTCCAATGTCACTTTTATCTTCATTTTTGTGTTTTGAGAACTTCTCCATATCTTTTAATAACTCCAAATGACAGGCAGGGTGTCTTCTTCTGCTTGCTTATTGAGGCTAATTAAACAACTCCCACCAAGTGGGCTTCATTCACTACTTTCAGGAACAAGCTGCACATACAAAATCTATCTCACTGAAAACATGCTGCACATACAAATATCAGAGCAAACACGGTCCTTCAGCTGATTTTACCTGTCTTGAAGTTTCTGTAAATGGCAGCATGAAGTTGGAGTGCTACAACTGTAAAAAACATCTCTCTCTCTCAAGACACACTGACACAATGTTCAGCAGACCTTTCTCTTCTCTTCATAGTTAAACTCCTTAAACATGAAGTCAGTGATGTTGCTTTCTGACTCACCTCCTCCTCCTGTCAGCATCATGGTGGGACTGACAGATGACCTCCCCATCCTGCTGGAAACCGGACTCGACTGTCCATCTCTGTCTTTACTGTCATGTCTGGACTTGCCATCTCCTACAGAGGCACAACAACATCAACTCAGTAAGTCCTGAAGAGTCAGTCAAAGTAAACTTTATTGTCATCTCTGCCATATACAGTACAGTATATAGAGAGACGAGATGATGAGGCTCAAGTTCATTCAGTGCAAAAGAACAACAATAAATATAGGAAGAGTAAGACATAAATATTCACTTCAAGACTAAGGTAAGGGGAGATATACACTTTGCAGTTGTATGTTGTTTGTTGGTATTGGTCTACAGCAGCAAAATAAGCTGCAGAGGAAGTAAAGAAACACTCAGTTCCTGTGACATCAGACCTTGACCCAATAAACCTATTATCAAACCAAACCATGCAGCTTATCAATTTGCTGTCCACTTCTTCTTATATACAATATACTATATAATATATTCCACCCCTGCCTAAAGACAGTCATATTTATTCTGCCAATGAACATTCAGATAGTTGCTGTGAAAGACGAGTGCATCTGACCTGCTCTTTCGTTTATGGCATGTAGTCTGTTTTATCTCAAGAAATAACTCTGTGATCTTTTTGTTGTCCATGTTAAGACGTACTTTCACATAGCAGACCCACGTCCATCTTTACAAAGGAGTTGAGTGTCAGAGCACTTGGAATCTCTGAGCACCACATTTCAAATGTCCCAGAGGTGTAAGTTAAAGGGGGCCGGAGCGACTGCAGGTGCAGTGTCCGTGGTGCTTCAGCATCTGGATAGCGGTATAGAAGAGGAGCAAGCATAAAGGGAGTAACTTTTTTTTTTTAAGTGTCAGGTAATTTCAAATGCCATGTTTTTATGAGTTTAACAAATATCTGCAAACACACAAACTGTTTGTGTGCAGTCTTTGCAGTGAGTTGCTAGCTAAAGATGCAGCTGCTGCATTTCCAGGAAGAGAAAAGAATGAGAGCTAACTCAGAAAGTAGTAGTAGTAGATAGTAAAGCTAAGAGCTTTTCAGGGGCATTACATAAACTGTAATTTAAAAATTAAATGTAATTGTCTTGATGCTCAATTATCCAAGTGAGGAACTCCCATAGAGTTGATTCTGTTCATCTGGACGTTTCAGTAGGAGAAACGTTTCATCAGGATCAGGTGACTGCAGGTTCAAACCTTATAAACAGGACATTTGTACAATGACTGAAACTAGTACTACTAACCGAACAATGGGCTGGGAGGTCTGTTCTGCCTTGAGTTTAGTGCCCCCTACTGGGCCTTGTAAATTAACAACTATTATTAACTCCAGTTAATAATGCGGTTATGGAGTTAGGGTTTTTTGACAGCAACTGCTGTTTTTTCCACTGTTAGCTGTCATTAGGCATTAAAACTTTCTTTGAAGTGGAATCCAACACTTTGTAAATAAACTCTCATGAGGTGTGAGAATTTAATTAAACTGTTTATCAGAGAGAAAGTGTGATTTTTAAGACACTCTAACCAGACATTAGAAGGTACAATGTTAACTTATACTCAGTAGTTGTTGTTGTTGACTGCTCTGGACTGCTGACCACAACAAACGGCAACAAGCCACAATAAACAGATCCAAAGTGAATCCTGGCCAGATGAGCTGATACAAGAACTGATTTGCTCCAGATCTATGATCCTGATCTGGTTCTGATCCATTCTGCTATGCTATTCTGATTTGGATCCAGTTTGTAGATCCATTACAGAGCCTACGGTACATCTGGGCCAGATCCGGTCCAGAGTAAATTTGCCATCTAGGAGTATACAGTATACTGTGAGTGTGGGAAATGAAAATCAGTTAAGATTGTGAAGGTTTGCTGTGTGGCAGGCAGGATGAAGGACCAAATGCAGGACTCACGAGAAACCAAGGAGTGAAATAAAGGAGGCAGCTTTTATTGCGCTGTAAAAACTCGACCACCAAATACAAGGAACACAGCATAATAATTAGACGCTAGAAAATTACGAACTCAGGAAACTAGAAACAAAGAAGCTAGAAACTATGAACTGACAAGAAGCAACAATGGGAATGAGCATCACAGAGGGTGCACACAGCACTGAGGGAGTATTTAATGACGTGACAATGGACAGAGGAAAACACAGGGCTTAAACACACCAGGCAGTAACGAGGGAATGGGAAACAGGAGGGAAACACAGCTGGGACTCTGGTCGTGTCCAAATTCATGGGCTGCATCCTCCTGAGGCTGCATTTGTAGGCCAATTTCATCACAGCGACGCTCCAAAGTCTGTCCAAATTCGTAGACTCCTCCGAATGCAGCCGACAAATGTGTCCTCTTTTTCCCCGAATTTGAAGGATGGGTCAGATGTGTCTTTCGTGGCCACCATATCCCAGAATTCATAGCGCGGCCCAGCCAAACTCCAGTTTCCAACAATGGCGGCAGCTACTAAGTTTTAAAATTACTCTTATTATTCTTTCTGGGTCACAAAATAAACTTTTAACATATTTTCAGGCAAAAAATGTAGCTGTTTAAACTTCAAATATCTGCTCGGTTTATTAAGATATTACATATTTGCAAAAGTGCTTCGACGTTTTCGGAGACGTCTGTTACCCACCAGCTTGATAGCTCGCCGGGAGCTCAAGGGTCACTGAAGCCGCTGAGAACGGCACAACTCCCGGCACATCATTTTCAGATCACCGCGGACTTTTGCTACTCAGGTTAAACGTAATATATAAGTCACTTAGACAACCTAAATTTTTATTGTTTGGCTTTTTTCAGTGTTTTATTTGTTCGTGAGTAAATCGGTTTGGCTGAGATTAAAGTAAGATAAAATAAAACTTTATTAATCCCTCGGGTGGTTTTCACACAGCTGACTAAACGTCAAACAGAAAACTGATTAAACAGAAGTGTGAGACGGTCGAAAGTTTACTCCAGTGTCCTGTTATATTTTAGATAGCAAGGAGCAGACGGCTGAGTTTATTAAACTCCACCGAGACAGCGCTGACGCTAATCAGAAAGATAGACCGTCCAATTCCACAGCCGTTTACTTCCGGCCTACCCGACCTTCTGAGGACCCGGTCCACGTAGACCACGAAAGCCGGGTCCTCAGGAGGATGCAGCCCATGAATTTGGACACGACCTCTGATATAACAAAATGGGGAGGAAGCAAAACTGAAACACAGGACACAAGAACTTCAAAGTAAAACAGGAAATATAAGACATGGAGACACCAACTAAACAAGGAGACATGGCAGACAGAGAAGACAGGGAGAACATGGAGCACAGAGACAAGAGTAACTAGATGTGGAACACGGGGAAGGGAAAGTAACAGAAAACTAAGGACTATGAACTAAGACTATAACATAAACAGAAAACAATAACGAGAATCAAAACCATTAAATCCAACAAATCCAAGAATATAACTTCCACTAGAGGGCAGTGCAACTACCTCCCCAAATAAATTGGTTGCCAACTGCCAGTAAAACAGAAGAGGACGAAGAAGAAATTACATAATACTCATGCTGTGAGTAAAACAATGCAGCGCCTAATAGCAAAGATAAATATTTAAAAAAAATAAAGAAAAAGTAATCTGTCTGACCTGGGTCCTGGAGAAAACCCCAACCCAGATGAGGGCCCTATAGCATGAGCTGTGGTCAGAAGAAAGCAAAGAAGGTAAACTGGGGACAAACCAAGCCAGTTCCACAATGCCTGGTGTGTGGGGGAAATTATCAATATGTCTTTTGTGACATTTTGTTTGCTGGTGTGCTGTGTGATTTTTCTAATGTGAAATATGTGATGCCCTAGCTGCACCATGGAGATATAGCAGTACAGAAGACTGAGATGTACTTCTTAAAGGGAAGCTGTTAAAAAATAAAACTCTATGCTATCAGTACATCCAGATAAAACTAACTAAATGCCTAATGCATTGGTAGGTTGTCTACCAGTACATTAGAAGATTTAGGTGCCTTAAATATGTAAAAAATTAAGATACTGTTAGCAGACAATAACTATAGTCACTGTCTGTTGTTCATATATTCTGTTAATTTAATGCCATCATACCCAATACAATAGAATTAGACAATTAAAGTTTTAGCAGTGTTTTTCCAGTGCAGTTGAAGGTAAAATTGGCTAAATACATTCACTATTTCCATTCAGCAGATCTGGGTAACAGTAGCTGTACTCACATATTTTACTGTGAAAATGTATACACATTGGCTAAACCACATACACAACTGTATATGGTGTTTAAATATTGTAAATCAATGATATAGACATATCTATCTATAGTTAATCTGAGAAAAACTGAAAAAAAAAACATCTTGTGGAGAGTCTCTCTGGAGACCGAATGAAGTAATTACAGCTTTTTGAGTATTCTCTCATATTTGACTACAAATGAGTGATTTTTTTTTATTCTTAGTCAATTTATCAGATTAACCTGTCCTTATATTTATTTATTATACTTATTATATTTCTGAGCAGCTGACCCAAAGACCATTAGAGACTGAGGAGGCATTCAGGAAAGCTGGCGGGTGTTAGTGTAAATAAAGACGCACAAGCTAAACACTGTTTTTCTATTGTCTTTTACAGTTTTAGAGTGGGAGATAAACTGGACACTTCAACGTGCTGAACTTAATTTGTATAATAAACATGGTTTGACTGGGTTTTGCTTTGTATTTGAGATAACAAACCGCAGTGTGTAATCAGTGTTACACAACAGCTTGCAAAACTGTTTAATATACTTTTCTTTCAGACGTGTGGATGAGCACCATTGGGTAATAGCAACCAGTCATCAACCTCTGGGACTAAAATTAAGCCAAGGCTCAAATCCCTAAACTTACAGTTCCTCATATATCCAGCAGGGGCTCCAGCAGTGAGTCAGTCCCCATAGATTTCCATGTTAAAACTTCACAGCAGAAACAAACATGTTTACAGCCAGACACACAAGCTGGTTTTGTCTCTGTGGATAATATCCCCCTACATAACAACTGCATGGTGGAGGGTTATTTGTCTCACCTGCTGAAATTGTATTAAGGTTTAAAGTTTGCATTGTTAAAGGATTGGGCCACTATTGTGAATGTGACCTCAGGTTTACTTGCTCTGACTTGTAGTCCCCCAGCACCCCCAAAAACCAAACCTTGTCCTTGATGTGCATCAGGTATTATAATATGGTGTTGATGCAATACTCTGCAACTCTCTTACCTTCACCCTCCCTGCTCTTCCTCCCTCCTGACCCCCTCTTCATCACCTGTCTACCTGATGCAAACAGGTTGTTGAGTTCGTCTAGTGGACTTGTTGGAGTCTGTGACCTCACGGACATGTTCTGCATGGACCCATGTGTGGAGGAGGAGTTACTGAGTTTAGCCCCTCCTTCACCTGCCCTGTGTGAAGATGATGAAGATGAAGATGAAGAGCGAGGCATACTTCCTCCTGCCATCAGGGTGTCATACGGTGGTGGCCTCTTCAGGCTCAGAGGTGTTAGCGAGCGTCCCATGCTGACAGGAGATGGGCATGCTGATTGGCTGCGGGGGTAACCGTGACCACCGTGCGTGGTGCTGGATGACTTGTAAAGGCTGGAGGGGAGAGGTGGAGCTGAGGAGCGACCAGAAGATGTGATGGTATGAGTGGAGGGCATGTCCCGGTCTCGTTCTTTGCGGTAGTGAGTGGAGCTCTGCGGCTGTTCAACACTGCCTGACTTGCTGTAGGAGACGTTTTCTAACATGGGGAGGCGTGTGACGTCCAAAGGGGTGAGGGGGGACTCATCTGAGTTTGGGGAGCACTGAGCGGGGGCAGGTGGGAAGATGAGCAGTGGTGGGCGGTGAGTCAGGAGATTTGGGAAAGGTGGAGGAATGTCACAGAGTGAGCCGCGGGATGACCAAGCTTCAGGGTCAATGATGGCAGCATTTGTGTCCTGCAGAAAGTCTTCCAGCATTGGGTACTTCATCTCCTCGTACACCGATTCATTCTGGTCGTCCTCCTCTGCTTCCTGACCTTTCAGCCCTCGCAGGATGTTTCCCACCATCTCAATGTAAACTGGCTCCTCTTCGTCCGTGTCCCTGGATGCTGGACTCTGACTTTGGGATGAAGATTTGTCCCACTGCAAGGAAGACTTCTTGTTGCCATGGTTACGGATGTAGCACTCATCAAACGAGGTGCTGAGCTGAGTGTTGGGATTCCTTTTAGGTTTAGGTGGAGGCATCTTCTTGGAGGCATCTTCAGAGTGCAGGAAACATTGAGCTGCAGACAGAGAGCGAACAACTGTCACAACACTTCTTCCATACCTTCTGAAAGCTACAAATTCCTTAGAGAACTATTTAAACTTCAAATTCAAGGGCAGTCATTTTTTCAGTCATCTTACTGACAGAAGAACTAGAATTACTTCAGACGGATACAATAAAAATATCTTCTGCTTTTCAATATAGTCTTAGGGATGGGAATTGATAAGAATTTAGCAAATCGGATTCTATTATCGATATTACTTCTTGGTTTTCATTGACTCCATTATGAAAGTCACCACCATCTCTAAGCAGCATATCAAAGACATTACATTCATGCACATGAATGACATGCTGTGGATGTTGGAGGTATTTCTGCTCTTTGTTGCGATCCGTGTCGGGGTCATTACTGAAAAAAGTAATTCTTAAAATGAATGCAGTACATAACTTAATTACTCCCAGGAGTAAGTAATTCTTTACAGTACTGGTTACATTACTACTACTACTACTACTAATAATAATACATTTTATGTAAAAGCTGTCACGACTGTGTGCAGGCAGGAAGAGAGGACCCAAAATACAGGACTCACAGAGGCAAACATAACTCAAAATATTCAGCTTTATTCTGGAAAGCAACTGAACAAAAAGCTAACTAAACTGAGAATAAAGAACAAACTAAACAGGCAGGCAGGCTGGCAAACAGAACACACAGTGAAAGTGAGGGTACGACACAACAACGAGCAGGGGAAGAGGCAGACACTAAATACAAGAGGTAAACAGAGCTAAGAAGAAACAGCTGGGAAAGACGGCTGACGCTGATTAAACTGACGAGACACAGAACTTAACAGACAGACTCATGAGCAGACATAACATCATGGACATCAAGGAAAACAGAAAAGTGGGACTAGGGCAGGCACAGAAACCTAACAAAACCTGGCAAATCTTAATGGAAAACACAATCAGAATAAACAAGATCATAATAAAGAAACACAAAACACTGAGTCACCAGACTCAGGATCATGACAAAAGCGCCTTTCAAAACACCCAAGGACACTGTACAGAACAAATAAGACAAGCATAAAAACAGGAAATGAACACAATAATAACACAAAGTGTTAAGAGCATGGAGAAGTTATACAGAGTAGGCTATCTTGAATAGGTGGGTTTTGAGGGTGGGCTTAAAAAGGGGGAAAGAAGTGATGTTTCTGAGGTCAGGGGGCAAGGAATTCTACTATTACTAATACTATTGCATTTCTCAGTAAAATGATCATGATCATGTCTTGATGCATGCTCAATCATCTAGGTAAGTAAATCTCCAAAAGTTGATTCTGTTCATCTGGATGTTTGTTTTTGTTTTTTTTTTAAATCCCAAAACACGCTGTGCCAAAAATTGGTCCACCCCAAGGATCAGGTCCCCCGACACAAACAGAGTAACATAGTGTACGTCGTTAAGTGCCAGGAGGATTGGCAGGATTTATACATCGGTGAAACCAAACAACCTCTGGCTAAGAGAATGGCACAACACAGAAGAGCTACCTTGTCAGGCCAGGACTCTGATTTTTGGAGTCTCATGATCACCATTTAGCAATATTAACCTATAGCTTCAGCTACACACCAACAGAGATCTCTAACCTAAAGAGGACACACATATGATCGTTCTCTTAGTATTTAGGTAAGAACACAAAGCTGACAGCACAAAACAAAGATAAAAACCCTTATTGTCTATTATTACTATTATTGTCTTTACCTTACAATATAAAGCACATTGAGGCAACTGTTGTTGGGATTTGGCGCAATATAACTATATTAAAAAACAAAACAAATAACAGGTAAAAACGAAGGCTGCAGCCTGATTGCTCATCCGTTTGTTACCTGATGAAGTTCAGTGGCAGCTGGCTTCACCGCAGCCCCAAAATAACGGCTCACTTGGCTGCAGTGTTGTTCTGAGATCTGCATTCACTCAGCGTCACTCTGGCTCCTTGGTGAACTTTACCATGGAGCCACAGTGACAGACAACATTAGCATCTTGTCTGTGCAGGTGTTTGCTGAGATTGTGTTAGCAACACAGTGTAGCTGTTTCTGTCCTGGATGCAGTTTGCACTTTACCATCACGTTCATGTCCTTTTGTGCAATAAAAATAAAAGTTCTGTTCATATGCATGCTGTAAACTGCCCTACTATTTTCCTCCTCCTACAACTGAAATCACCTGATTGTAGCGCAAGTGCAAGAATTGATCGGTGGGATCAAGAGACAAGCAGCTGAACAATTCCAAAGAATTCAACTACTAGGAACCGGTTCTTCTAGAGAACTGGTTCTCGATTCTGATCCCTACAGTGTCTTCATTTAAAGGTCTAAGAAAAGGCTTTACACACTTCTTTAATAATGAAGTCAGGTGAAGTGAAACACATTGAACCTCTTCTTATGAATAATGTCCATCTGAGGCCACGGCAGCATCCTCAACAACGCCACATGGACCAATAGGAGGTCATGAACAATGTTTATAATGAGACCTTGCTGTGGCCATCACCTGAACATCAGTCCTGAACCTGCAGATCTAATTTGGTGCCCAGATCTCCACCATATGAGACATGTGGTTTTAATGACTCACCTTCAGCCTGTTCTAGCTTCTCTTTGGTGTCTTGGTGGTCTCTTCTTGTAACTCCACCCCCATCCACAGTTTCGGAGCTGCTGCTCAATTTGGTGTTGGGATCTCTCTTAGGTTTGGGTGGGGGTTGTTTGCGGCTGCTGCTGGAGTCATCTTCTCCTCCGCCCACTGAGTGGAGGGACTGCGATCTGACGGTGAAGCCCTGGTTGGCTGGGGGCAATCGGTCCTGTGGAGCTGGCATCGTCATGAAACCCATCCTGAAGTGTTTCCCAGAGTACGCCCCATCCGAGGCCGTGGCAACATCCTCACCAATCCTGGTTGCACCAAAGGGAGATCATGTTAGTGTGACTGTCCGATAACACAACAGCTAGTAAAACAAATACAAGACACTCATAATGTTTCTGAAGTGGTGATGTGTTAAACTCTTATTTACATTTAAAACACTAAAAAAAATGTCCTAAATATCTATCTCTCTCTATACACACACACACACACACACACA